TTAAAATTTGTTCTGCACTATCTTTAAAATATTGATTTCTTAATTTTGGGTTGGAAAAATGGGGGTCGTCTTGTACATGGGGGCATCTTATTAACGGAAAAATACGGTATATAAACACAAGGAGCTATAATCTCAGCAGAAATAACATTCCATAAAGTAGAAAATTCAGATAATTTAGTACACAAGGATTCTTTTATTGTGTGTGTGTGTGTGTGTGTGTAAAAATAAAACTTCAGTTGCAAAAACAATCTCATCTAGTACCTGATAGGGATTGCAATTTATTCCTGTAATTGCTTTGAACTGAAACTTAGTAGTTTGTATAACCAGTTTGTACAAGTCACTAGCCCAGAGTTAAACAGTGGCTGGATTCACACATTGTGCTGAGTCAAACAATCCCCATTACAGATTAGTGTAATTATCATGATGGCTTGTTCAACAAACCATGTTTAAAACAAACCATGTCCTACTAGAACCATCAGGGAGTTTACAGCTAAATAAAAAATTGCCTCCTGAGCTGAGCAACTACATTGCATTATTTCTTAAAGAGCAGTGTAATGTTTTTTAAAAATAATAATTTTGTGTTGCAGAGAAACTCTTGTTACACAGTTAGATCTGGCTGAAACGAAAGCAGAATCTGAGCAGTTAGCCCGAGCTCTCCTTGAAGAACAGTATTTTGAACTAACACAGGAGAGTAAGAAAGCAGCATCACGAAGTAGACAAGAAATTATTGATAAGGACAATATTGTTAGTCGGGTAAGTTATATTTATACATTTATATCATGAAGTCAAGTTTATTATATTGTAGAAAGAAGTATATCTTTAATAATGTGACTACACGTTGAGGTTACTATTATGCACACTTGTTTTTCTTACAAACCTTCAGTGGCAAGATTGATGCATGCATATAGGTGAATAAGCATGTAGCTTCCTTCCATGAAATATTAAACATTTTCTTACATTGGAAATCACAGAATTATAGGGTTGGAAAAGATCTTGGAGGTATTATAGCCAATTCCCTGCCCAGGGCAGGAATCCTCATGCCATCTTATATACATGGTAATCTATCCTTTGCTTGAAAACCACCGGTGATGGAGCCTCTGTAACCACAGGAGGCAGACTACTCCACTGCTTAATAGTTCTCTTTAAGCTAAACATACCCAGTTCCTTTAACTGTTCTTTATAGGATTTAGTCTCAAAGGCTCTCACCATCTTTGTCCCTCCTCCTCTGCCCTCAGTATCCTTCTTACATTTTGGCAACCAGAACTGGACACAGTATTCCAGGTGCAGTCTGACCATCGCAGCATAGAGTGGAACTGTCATTCTCATGATCTGGACATTATACCTCTATTGATGCTGCCTAAGATTCCATTAGCTCTTGTGGCAGCTGCAGCACATTGCTTGTTCATGCTTAATCTGTGGTCTATCAGAATACTCAGATCCTTCACACAAGTACTACTGCTGAGACAGGTATGGCCAATCATGTATCTATGCATCTGGTTTTGCCTGCCAAAGTGCAGAAGTATACATTTCTCACAACTGAACTGTTTTTTGTTAAAAAGAGCCCAGTGTGCAAGTCTTTCAAGATCATTTTCTACCTTCAGCCTGTTTTCTGAGATGTTGGTAATCCTCACCCCCCAGCTTTGTGTAATCTGCAAACTTGATGAGTATCCATTCAGTCCCCTTATTTTTGTCATTTATGAAAAATGTTGAAGAGCGCTGGGCTTTGCTCAGCAAACCATGTTTAAAATAAATAATGTCTTAGCAGAATTTGTACACCATCAGTGAGTTTCATACTTAAGTAAGAAACTGTCTCCCAAGCTGAATATTAGAAACACTGCATTGTACTATTTCCTAGTGTAGTTTTTTAAAAAAGAGTAGTTTTGACTTGTAGAGAAACCCTTGTTACACAGATCTGGCTGAAACAAAACCTGAATGTAAACAGCCTGTGCTGTCCTTGAAGAGTTGAATCGTGCATCTGAATATTCCACTAGATAATTTTCTCATATTGACATAGAACCATTAAGGACCACACATTGGGTATGGTTTTTCAACTAGCTGCAAATCCACAGCTAGTGGGATCATCCATCCCATATTCTGTTTTATTAAGGAGCTGTGGTCAACTTGATCAAATCCTTACTGAAGTCTAAGTGTACTACATCTGCAGCATTCTTTTGATCTATTAATCTAGTCACTTTGTTAAAAAGAGCATGTACTTTGTTAAAAAGAGCATTTGTTTGCATGACCTCTTTTTAACAAACCCATAATAGCTTTTAGTAAACACCATGTTCGTTTCTAAGGGCTTGCAAACTGACTCCTGATCTTTTCTGGAATTTTCCCAGATACTGATTTCAAGCTGACTGATCTGGAGCTTCCAGGGTCCACATTTTTCCTTTTTTAAAGAAGGGTAGAAATTTATTGGTGTATTCATACATACATACAGTTTAGAGGCCTCCTGACTACCAAGGATCCTGGGCAGCTCAAAGATAAAAAGTAAGAAAAACAAAAAACCCAAAGGAGATCATGAGTGGCCTAAAGAAAAACATATCAACCAAAAAAGTCCCATCCAACAGGGGCTCAACCATCAACCCACTCCAAAGCCTGGGAGAATAGCCAGGTCTTTAATAGGTTCCTGAACATCATCAGGTTCAGGAAGCCTTCCTGGGAGCCATCCAGATGTCAGCTCTTTTCCAGTCTTTTGGCACTTACCATGTATTCCAGGAGTTCTCAAAGATTACAGTCAGTGGCACTGAGTTGAAATCTGCCAGTTCTTGGGATGTAATCTGTCTCGTCCTGGAGATTTAAATTCATCCAAGCTAGGTCCTTACCTGTTTTGACTTACATTTCTGTTCTGCTTCCCACAGTGAATCTTCTGACAGCTTGGGTCACTGTTTTCTGTTGTGAAAAGTCAGGTGCAAAATAGGAATTAAACAACTCAATCTTCTCCCTTTCCTTATCACCATCTTACCATTTTCTCAAATTGGTGGACCAACTGTTTCTTTGACTGTCTTCTTGCTGTACACATATCAGAGAAGTTTGACTGTGTTAAAACAAAATGTCGTCTTAAACTTAGTATTTGTGTTAATATAATTTTACTAACACCAAAATGAGTAAAAACACGTGTTTAAGCTAGTTTAAATTTAAAAATAAGTTATGAAAAGATGAATTACTATTGGCCATATAGATGTGTCTGTTTATTCTTTAATTCCATAATTAATTAATTCCATAAAATTTGTATACTTCTACAAAATTTCCTATTTTTTTTCCACAACTATTATTCAAATACAGTTAATGTTTTGATGTTAATAAAGTGTCCCCCCCCCTTTTTTTTTTATTCTTAGCTTGAAGAAACAAATAATACATTAACCAAAGATGTGGCATTTTTAACAAAGGAGAATTCTGAGCTAAATGAAAATATTAAAAAACTTGAAGAAGGTATTTCATATTTCAGTGTTGTTTTTTTGGAAGAAGGCCAACACCTTTACAATATTATCTCATTCATAAGAGGAATGGTCTTTCAGCATTGCAGCAGCAAAATATGGTTTGGCATCCTATAGATGTTGCTTTATAGCTGTGCTTTTTTTTTTTTTTGGTCCAAAGGATGAAAATATTATTGAACACAAAGAACTAATTCAGAGATTTTAAGATCTTAAGATCTGATTGTATATAGTTGTATTCAAGAAGACAGGATTCAGTCTTTGTAAGTCTGGAAAAATGTGAGATAACTTGGAAATGCAGTGAATTGTTGGAGTTCACATATGAGGGTTTATCTAAATATTATGTGAGAAAAGATATAGGTGGTATTGTTTAGTTTTTTAGCCAAAAATAATGCTTTATGAAAGAAATGCATTAAGACTTTTTATTTCTGTAATGAAGTACAGTGGTATCTCAGGTCATGAACTTAATTCGTTCCGCAACTCTGGTCATGACCCAAATTGGTCGCGACCTGAATCAAATTTTCCCATAAGGTTCAATGTAAATATGGTTGATCCATTCTGACCCTTCCGAATTTGGTCGCCAACCGATTTGGTTGCGACCCGAATCAAATTTTCCCATAAGGTTCAATGTAATTATGGTTAATCCATT